GCAGAAATGGCGTGTTCGAACGAGGAAACAATGAAACTCACCTTGGAATTTTAGGAATACCAGCTTCAACAAGCATACCACCGTTCATCTGATCCACCGAAGAGTAATAGCCATGATTCGTGCTGCCATTGATTTTTCCATTTCTTTCGACATCTTGTACTCGAGGTAAGAGCTTGTTTGGTGCAGCGAACGCCTTCAAAAAAAAAATTGAGACACTCCCGAACATTGAATAAACCGATTTCAAAGATGATTTAAAAAGGCATTACAATTGTAAGTTCTCTCAACCGCTTCAGGACCAGTTTCTCCTCCCTCCAAGTGGCATAAAGCGACTGGACACTAATGATGGCAAGAACCTGAAAATAAAACTCCCATGGAAAAAAGCTCGTGGAACATTCTGTTTCGCTTGGTAGACTTACATTGAGCGCAGCCCGACATACGTAAAAAACCAGCTCTGCCAGTCCGTAGTGACTGTCAAGTTTCTGAAGGCAGAAAAAAAAAAGACGCCATCAGAACCTGACACAAAAAAAAAACTATTAAAAAAAAATGTAATCTCACCCAATGATATAAGCTCATAAAAAGCACCATCCCACATTCAGGGAACAAGAACAATACCATGACGAACAGCCACGCCAACAGGACGTTCATTCTCCTCTGTAGAGACAAATCAATCAATCAATCATTCACACGAGGGGGAAAACCTCACGAATCACACAATGATAAGATTCAGTTCGTTCACTACTGATGCTAATGGAAATCGTATCAATTAAATTCCTATTTCACGTAATATGCCATCAAAACGCGTTCAACTTCAAGTTACAAAACATGAGTTCATGAGTTAGTTTTTTAGTTGGCCAAGAATAGTTCCGATCAGGTTAGAACATTCAGGTTTTGTTATGTTACCCTCATTGATCAGTGAATTTATCTCAATTCAAACTAACCAACTAAAAATAAAATTTAAACTAACCAAAAAAAATCAAATTCAAATTAATCAACTAAAAATCAATTCAAACAAAATAAAACAAAACCTAATTTAAATAGCTATTGATTGACTAAAACTAACCATAACTCGACCAAAAATAACTATAACTTGAATAAAATGAACAATAATTTGAATACAATAAATTATGACTTGACTAAACTCACAAGAAGAAACAAAAATTGAATAAAACTAACAAGACGTAACTAAAATGGACTATAACTAACCTAACTATGTATGAACAATTTTATAATCTTACTAATCAAATCATGGATGAACAGGCCACTCACCCCAGCGAGTCCTCCAAGAAGAGTTATTGAAACAAAGAAAATGCATAAGTAACCAAGGCATAGAAAATAGGCAGGTGCTGGCAAGCCATCTGAAACGGATTTCAACAAATCACTCAATACATCTACATTCACAATGAACGAACACATTCAATCTAACCTTCAGCTTCTATAAGCCACCAAAGCTCCATACCAAACGCTACCAGGTACATCAGCTACAGAAAAAAATAAAAAACATTTCATCAAAATTCAGACTCAAACAAGTCACATTATCTCATGAACTAAATAAAATCTAAAAAAACTCACAGTAGCGTAGACTCCACTGGCAATAGCTCCAACAAGTAAACTGAAGCAACAACATGACGTCAGCAGCGCCATCTTGACGCCTTAAAAATTAATAAATATAAAATAATTATTCAGGAACTGGGAAAATCTGCAAGATGAATAACGTACCACCTGGCTTTCCAAGCTCCGAGTCAATCTGCATCAAGCAGCTTTGTCATATTCCAGCATCAACATTCGAAAACAAACCAAAACAAAAAGAAAAAAAAACACATACAACAGCACAATCTGAAAAAATGAAAACAGAAGAATTAAAAATGGAGATCGCGGGATACCAACGAGTCATGAACAATTCGTTGCCCTCAATCACATTCTGAAAGCTTGACCAAATTCGTACCAACGATATTCATCATTCGCGACAACAGTTTCCTCCCTCGAGTTTTTTTTCTTCGCAGTCCTTAATCTTTACCTGGGTATAAGAGACTTTTCTGTACTCAAGACAGGTATTTTAGTTTCATTGATCATAATTTTCATCTCTATAAAATAATTCAACAGCAAAAAACCTGATCATAATTTGGAACATAATTTTGCGTCGCGTTAAGACCACAGATCGTCAAGATTTTAATACCTGACTGCTGCGTTTTGGAAAAAAATATTTCATTAGAAACGAGAAATCCCATCGGAGATTAATGCAAACTTGCGGTACACAGGACCAAAACTGTTGAGAAAAACAGATTCCATATTGCTTCATCCTTCCTCATTAGGAGTTGTCAATTTTGTTCCAAGTTCGGATCATGGTGCGGATTTATTTTCGACGATTCGAAGGTTTTGCATGCACGACAGTCATTTTATCAAGGTGAAGGCAGGTCATGTCTACACCAAATCGAACGAAACACGATCATTTAGGTAGGTTATGTATGTGTGGCAGTGTGAGGATTGATTCATCCCAAAAGCGTTAATTCACGAACAAGTAAGAAATACAATAAAAGTAGCCAATAGAAAATCAGATATACGCTAGTCTAAATCAGTTTGAGTCAAGGTCTGTCAAAAACAGGCCCTGAACTTCAAAAACCTGCCGGTAAAACGTTGCTTCTTCCAATATTGTTCCGGACACGCATTTTATGTATGTTTGTCACGGAATGAGAGCATTTTTTCAAGAGTGTATCAACTCGAAAAATAACACCCTTCAAATCATCAACCAATGATACAGAAATATTTTTTTTTTTAAACGCGCAAATATTTTTCAAATCCAACCCCATTTCACCAAGGGTTTGATCGATGGGATTCCTTTGATTATCATGCGGTAATAAGGCCAGAAAAAAAAGTGACTGAGGAATGCATTTGAACAATCAATTCGACAAACACCTTAATCCTGTCCAAATAAATTGATGACATTGACAAGTTTTTTTCCTGCGGCTCATCAAAGGCCTCGCGAACGTCTTCCTTTAATTGATTGTCATGAAAGGTAAAATATATCTGAAGAATCCAATTGAAAAATTGATAGACTAAGTCATTATTCCAGTGTCTTACAAGCAAATAAAAAAGGAGAAAAGGTTTACGACATCATTCGTTCAGTTCGGCTCCCACAAGAAGCTTCTGATCAAGTGAAATTACTTTACCCAACAAAAAAAAGCATTCGCTTCGGAATATCCATATTTTTTTTCCTTCTTCATTTCATTGGAAAATGAAACACGCGCGGAGATATTTTATCTTCCACTTTACAACGTCGGCTTTTCCACTTACTAAGCGTTCCTTTTCGGTGCAGAAAGTGAGGAGCAATTATAGAAACTAAGATAGTCAGACAGATACCGTGGGAAGAAGGTAAACTGATGGTGACGTCAAACACGAGTCTGCGGAAGAAGTATCGAGCTCAGTCAAATGATTTCCCTCGTCAGGTTCTTGCTCCTGGTCACCGCAATAATATACATCTCGGCCTTTCAATCAGACGGCAAGTGTTCTTCTTTCTTTCCTTCTCTTCGAAGTGTCCAGAATTCGGTTTTTCTCTTTTTGTTTAAAAAAAAAAAAAATTAGGGCGAAAAATATCAGTTGTTGTTCACCACGTAATACATAGTTAACTGACACCCCGAATTTTCTACACTCTCCGGTTTCCAATAAATTACTCCAAAAATAAGCCGTGTCCATAAACGAAGTCTTCAAGAAGTAAACTCTTCAGTTCTTCTTCAACCTACAGAAAATGTTTAGTCACTGATCTCGAGATATATACTCGAAGATTTCAAAAAATAAAATACGGGAACTTCCTAATCGAATTAACTTCATGATCGTCTCGATGAAGATGCATACGATCCGTTTTCATCATCACTCTTTTCAATTTCCATGGAAATACAATCCCTTACTGCAAACGGGAAAAGACAAAAAAAGATCAACTTCTCAACGTTTAACCAACACAAGACCAACATGAAAAAATTCCATGATTGCGCTTCGAAAATTCAATTCATGGTTTTTTAAATTCAAGTCATGTAACAGATGCTTCATTTTTATGGAAGTACAGAGAGACCCCAAGATGCAGACATAATTGGTGCATCAAGAGTGTCCTTAAGTCGAGTCTCATTCCCTTTGACTTACATTATATAAATTTTAATTGGTGTTTTATGCACAAAATACTCACCGTAATTCCATGAAAATATAAATTGTCTCCCAATTTAAACTGATTCCGATCAATATATATTTCAACACAATATGAACATTTGGGGAATTGAATTATGATACCTCCATAGAGTAGATAGAAATGTTGGCATACTCTGTAAAAATGACATTCAAGTAAAAAAGAGAGAAGGAAGTCCCTCTATGTTGGAGGTAATTTTTTTAAATTAGCTAAATGGATGGTAAATTGGTGAGAGAAATGCCCAAGAACTTTTATTGCATCAATTTTAGGGTTGGAAATATCTTTTTTTTTGTAATTTGGCCTGAAACTCCTTTGAAATTTTATAACAAAATGTCCCCATGTTGAGTCAGTGTCCTCATGTTGGGCCTATTTTATTAATTTTCTAATAGAAAATAAGTGTCCCTATGTCGAATTGTCCGCAGGTCGAGGTGTCTGCATGTGGGGGTCTCACTGTAAAACTACCCGGTTACGATTAAGTCTAGGAGAAAAGTAGCAATATTTGAAATAGTACGCCTCAAAAATTCAAGTTGAGATTTTTTTGTTGGTAACATACATTTTCGGGAGGTAGAACTGCCAGGTTGAGCTAGCCACGCTATTACAGCCTTATTTCAGTAGCAGAGCAGAAAAAAATGCCACAATAGGTGGTATTTGATCCTGTGAATGATTTTTTCTCGCCGCTTTCAGATTTCAGAGAAGACCCATCGGAATGTTCGGAAGATGACAGTTACTGCGACTTCTGGCCAACAACACATAATTTCCCTCTCAACTTGTCAGAATGCAATGATCCCACATTTTCAAACAACTCGTCTTCGCGTATCACTAAACGACAGATTTGTTTCTACCTAGCAGAAGCTGATCCGATTTATCGCGCCAAACTCAAGCAATACTTTACAGGTAACGAACATTTTCTCTCTCAAAAAATTTCAAATCCTCGACAAGAAAAAATAAAATAAAGCATGAAACAAAAATCGCTCCAGATTTTCGACGCTGGGCCGAGCGGTTCGTGGAATACAAACTCATGCTGACGCGACGCACGAAGAATCCGCACAGCATCGGAAACTGGCCACGAAACAAAATCTTGTGCGAGTTGAAGAAAATCCCTCCGTTCGCCCTGACCAGGTCCGTGTATCCCTTCAACGCGAACCCCTTGGGCAAGGAGCTGCCAGAAAAGAAGCAAATCATGCCCGGGAAGAAATTCAACACTTGCGCGCTTGTGTCCAGTTCCGGGCGCATTTTGGGCACGAGAATGGGACGCGTGATCGGTGAGGGAAGAGCACGTTTTAAAAATTCAAGTTAGGCTGGGTTTTTTCAAAGTTTGGTAACTGATACTTTCTCGGAGGTAAAACTGAATTTCTGCTTTCATTCTTTCCCCTCTGCAAAAAAAAAAAAGTCCATGAAGTACCTAGTCACGGGAAAACTTGATTGACATAGCCATCCCTATCACAGCTCAACTATTTTTCAATTATTTTATATTTTTGTTCCAAGACTCTCATTCTTCAGAATCATTCGAATAATGTTTCCTCAGTTATATTTAAATATACTGAACAAAGGAGCTTGAAATGCTATAAAATATTGGGTCCCCACGTGAAGAAACTAATCCGTTCCTAAACGTGTTCCGTTTTGTGACATTTTCCTAATGCGAAACGCGATTTTACTAAACTTTACATTAGAAATTGATTAAACAGCTCAAGAAAATATTGAAAAGATCAAAATAAACCTAGATAACTGCATATTATTCTTAGTTTCCAGCATTAATTCGTAAATTTAAAATTGATGAATTTTGTCGTGTGATATTTTCGTAATGCGAAACGCGACTTTACTGAAAGTTACATTAAAAATTGATTGAACGGCTCAAGAAAATATTGAAAAGATCAAAATAAACCTAAATAACTGCATATTATTCTTGGTTTTCAGCATAAAGTATTACATTTCGAATTGATCAGTTTTGTTGCGTGAGACAGTATTTTCGCAGTGCCAAACGCGATTTTGCTATCCTTTCCATTATAAAGTGATTAACTCGTTCCAGAAACTCTCCAAAATACGAAAATACCCCTCAATAACTGCACACCGTGTTATTCTTAGTTTTCAGCATACATTCGTAAATTTAAAATTGCTTAGTTTTAGATTTAGAAAACCTTGAAAAGTTTTTGTCATTCACTTTCGGATTTTACAAATTTCAAGAACCGTGAGAGCAAAACTACACTCTTCTTCAATAATTTTGTTTTTCAAAATTCTTCAGCCCAAAACTTGCTAAAATTTGATTCTTTTCCGGTAGAAAAAAAGTTCTAAAAAAACCATTTTGTTATATTAGTCAGTTTTTCCCTTCGAGAATTTTTAAAACGCGGATTTTTTGTAGAGTCTTCCGTTATGTGGGGCCTCACTGCACTCGATACTCTCTCTACAACGAAATTAACGGGAATAGAAAACATTTTGTTGTAAATAACAACTAAACCCGTCTCTCCCCATCTCTTTCGGGTACCCCTTGATACCCAAAAAATCGCTATACGGAGATAGATCGGTGTAGAGAGTGAGTCCACCTGTATTAATTTTCAAAGAATAGAAATAGCTCTTTTTTTCGATAAAACACCCCAGTGATCACACTCTTCCTCCTCAAAAAAAAAAAAATGGATACGCCAGGGCAGATGCGAATGAGCAAGTTTGCAGACTGAACGACGCACCAACAAACGGTT